CCCTATCGGCTCATGTTTAATTCTTCTTTCTTTCTTTTCTTTTCTTTCCCTCCCACTCTCTCATTCTTTTCCCCCTCTCCCTCACCCCAACAAATATGTGGTGCAGTTCAAAACAGATTAGTGAAGTTAATGATATAAATAGCAAGAATACATCTTCGGAAACAAATTTATTAAAATTACATTAACCCACGAACCTCTAGATGAATGTTGTGATCCCTGTTTTTAATAAATTCAACTTGTATCAGGTCTTTTTTTTTTTTTGCTACTACTTTCATCTGTTCATATAGACATCATCAGGCATGGAATTTATTTGTTTTTTTTTTAAAGAACTGATCCGACGTGCAACGTCTGGTATAATAGCTGCGACATTGCTCTATTTATTGAACAATTTAATTCATGCCCCATCGACTGAAAAAAAACTACTACAACAAAAGAATTCTCCAATTACCATATTAGTAAAAAAAACGCACTCTCTTTTAAATTTCCCAAAAATTCAACCTTAGCGTTGCGACCGCACGCTCCATAATTTCTTACAGTTAGCAATAACACATTTCTAAAAAAAACATATTTCGATTAACATCTAATCTTTCGTGCCATCACCTTGTCACCAACCCAGATTCCTTATCAAAACTAGGTGTCCCCTTAAGTACCACCGTACACTTTCACCCATTGCTATCTAAAGTAAATTCGAAAACCCCATTCAGTGACAGTCAGTCTAGGGCTGAGGTAGAATAGCATATGGCAGTGCTGGCCTGAAATAGATTATACCTACATGAGGTAATTTTAGATTTTTTGCACTCTTATATATATATATATATATATATATATATATATATATATATATATATATATGTATAGTCTTAAGGTGTGCTATATTTATGGGATAAAATTCTCAATATCAGAGATAGAACGTGTGTAAATATAAAAGTGAACATTATTACCTGGATGTATTTAAAAAAAAACAAATCAATTTCCATGCCTGATGATGTCTGTAGGAACAGATGAAAGTACTAGCAAAAAAAATTTATTAAAAACAGGGATCACAACATTCATCTAGAGCTTCATTTAGAGGGTTAATGTAATTTTAATAAAGTTGTTTGCGAAGACGTATTCTCGCCATTCATACCATTAACTTCACTAATCTGTTTTTTGTATGAATGATTCATGTAATACATATATATATATATATATATATATATATATATATATATATATATATATATATATATGTGTGTGTGTGATCTCAAAAGCATGAAACCCAGAATTACAAACCAATATCCATACAACTCAATATGTTAGCTCTATTACTGATATTGAGCACTTTCCACTAAATACCACACACACACACGCACGCACACACACACACAAACACACACGCACACACACACACACACACACACATATATATATATATATATATATATATATATATATATATTGTGAAAGTTCCGTTATAAATATCTTCAACTGAGGTAATCTACTTCACTCAAAAGTTTTCCAATTAAGGGTGCACTAATTTTCTCGATGTTACTTCCAAGTCGCTTTGTCTGGCACATCTTTTAAACGTAAAAAAAATGTTTGTTGGCGCCTTGAGAATATTTAAAACGTATTTCGGTCAGAAAAATAAGAAGCCAATCTGAAGTACTGGACGGGATGTTTACTGCACTCGTCATGTATATGTTGACAATTAAAATTAAATATGATCAGAAGCCATTAGACTCACTGAAGCTGTAGCATCAGGAATTATTATTATTAGTAGTAAAATTAATAATATTAATGATATATTTTGAAATTTTTAATATGTTATATTATGAAAATCCATTATCGGCAACATTTGGCGCGAAACCTAATAATTCATTTACGATTTTATTAAAAAGTTAAAAAATAGAAACCGTATTTAACAACGGAATAGAAAACTAAACAAGACTGAGAAAAAATGTTTTCGCCAGAAAGCGAATCAATTTGAAATCATTAAAAGCTTTTCCTTGCAATGCAACAAAAACGATAATAATTTTCTTTTATTCCTATTATATTTCTGGCGGGCCCCAAAATAATATTTTCTTTTTATTTACTTGGTTTTCCCTGTTTCCTTGATTATTTAAATTTCTCACGTGAAAAGCAAAAAAAAAAAAAAACGAAAAAAACAATCGTCTTGACCAAAAAAAATTGATTTTCAAATTTAATTTTTCGATATCTTTGCTTGTTTTTCCATGACCCTTCAAGACGTTGGGGATCATGGCTCTCCCAATTTCTGTCTTTCGTAGCCCATACTAAATTTTATATATATATATATATATATATATATATATATATAAGAAACAGGTTGTAGTGGTTCCAACGAGGGAAAAGTATGTATATTAAAAAGAAGAGAAGAGGGGTGCCGCAAAGGTTTTTGGTTGTAATGTGGATTTTTTTAGAAAAAAATATTATGCTTTATTTTCCATTATTTTACTACACGTGTTTCTGGTCTCGTGACCGTCTTCAGGTAAAAGCGAAAAGCGGAGATTTCCACATATTATTAAAAATAATTAATTTTTTCCTTTATGTTTTTCAATGTTAAATATTCTCGATATGAGATATTCTCTGTTTTTGTGTTAGTAATCCGAATGTCTTTCTTGAATTGGCAATGAAGTGTATATCTATCTATCTATCTATCTATCTATCTATATATATATATATATATATATATATATATATATATATATATATATATATGTATGTATACCACAATATTCAATAAAGAAACTTCCACTCTAACTTTAAACTGTCTTGTCTTTAAATAGCCCGACATTTGATAAATATAATCCTCTAGCAGGAATCTAATCTCATTTACATATGACTAAAGGCTTTCGTCATAAATAAATTCTTACTCCGTCCCATCACATTGTCACCAACCCAGATTCCTTATCAAAACTAGGTGTCCCCTTAAGTACCACCGTACACTTTCACCCATTGCTATCTAAAGTAAATTCGAAAACCCCATTCAGTGACAGTCAGTCTAGGGCTGAGGTAGAATGGCATATGGCAGTGCTGGTCTGAAATAGATTACACCTAGATGAGGTAATTTTAGATTTTTTGCACTGTTATATATATATATATATATATATATATATAGTCTTAAGGTGTGCTATATTTATGGGATAAAGTTCTCAATATCAGAGATAGAACGTGTGTAAATATAAAAGTGAACATTGAAGTCAACACTCAGAGGTGACAGGCTGTTTCATGCGAGACGCAATCATCAGGCCATAATTATATATATATATATATATATATATATATATTTTAAGACATTTTATGTTTATTATTTTATGTTTATTGTCGGACTTTGTCCATTTCATAATGTGACGTCATATATATATATATATATATATATATATATATATATATATGAAAATTCAAAATTTAGAGGCGACAGGTTGTTTAATGCTAGACGCAATCGTCAGACGTGGCCTGATGATTATGTCTAGCATGAAACAGCCTGTCGCCTCTAAGTTTTGACTTCAAAGTTCAGTTATATATATATATATATATATATATATATATATATATATATATATATATATATTATTATCGGAGAAAAGCGCATGTAAATATAAACGTAGACATTGAAGCCAAATATTTACAGTCTATTCCATGATTAAATGCAAAAAAATGATCAAAATACTAAATTTATTAGTAATTAAATTACGTAAGTAACAAATGAGTTAACGAACTACGAATGCACACATCAACTCAAATAAACGTAATATTAATAAGCAACAACAAATAATGAATTAATCTTAAAAATTATGAGAGAAAAAAAACACTGCAAATAATGAGTACTAAAAAAAAAATTAAAACAAAACACGACAAAATAGATATAAATAATTGCATTCGAATGTACAATTATTTCTACTTGGTATCTTCTGTAATAATTGGAAATTTT